GAGGGGGGGGGGGGGGGGTCCCAGAGCAGAAAACAAGAAGGGGAAAACTTGTTTTAGCCTCCTCATTGTCAGATACCTTTCATCTTTGATATATTTCCCATGAATGATTCATGGGGGGGGGGGGCTTTGTCCTGCCCTCCTTTTCACCAGAAACTCGGCAAGTCCTTCTCTCCACTGCACCCCCACCCAGGACCGCAGAGCTCATTTAAGAGGCATCCCTTCCCACCTTCACTTCCTCCCCTCCCCCCTCCATTTCTTTTTAATTTACACGAAAACACCTTTGCAACCCTCTTTCACTTTCGGCCAGTTCAACGCCTCAGGGGAAAAATAGTGGCTGAGAATTACAGCGTAAATTCGGATCAGGCAAAGTTAGGAAAGAAGTTGGAAGCAGCATATTTATGTAATAGGGAAAGGGGAGTAGGTAAATTCTAGCCAATCCCTCCTCATATTCCCTAAAAATAACACCTTTCGGGAGTCCCCAAACTTCTCTCCCTTCTCCAATAATCTATAAACAGTTATCTCTCATTATATATGATCACACTATAGATATATGAAAACATATTGTAATATTTTACATGGTGCTCATATCAGATTTTTCATTCATTCTTTGCTTAAAAGGCTATCTGAAATGTAAGGTTAGTTAAATGAATTGCAGCAAATTGCTTGCAATAATATACAGCAGACCTTAAAAATAATATTGGTTTGGAATGCAATAATCCTATTTCTTATTTGTCCTTACTTTTTCATCCAAGGCGGGAAAAATATTGGACAGCAGCTCATACTGTCCCCCTTTCTGTCCTCTTCATCTCTCTTCCAACAATAAAGCAGACATGTGAGATATAAGAATATTTTTATTTCACTTTAACTTTTCTTGCTTATGTATGACCAGGTTAACAGATATGAAGGAGGTACTGCATGTCTTAAAAAATACTGAGAAACCCATGGAACAATAGAGAAAGAGTACGTACTGTAGACCCAATGATAATCTCAGATATTTGGAACTAAGTCCATTGGAACCAAGTATCTTCTTCCTACTAATTGTATACCTTTAAAGATGTTAAGTTTCACATTAAACAAAACGTGAGGGCTTGTACTGTAATGGATAGTGCAATTTTTTTTCCAAAGGGCGGGCAAGAAAATAAAATGTATAAATTAAAACAATGCATTTAAAATCAGCAAGAGATTCTTCCAAAATAAAGACTGCCAAAACATAAATTACCTTGTAAAAATCCATGCCCTATTTCATTTTATTTTTCTTAGTATCTGAATGGGTTCTGAATAAAGAAATGCAAAACAAACAAACATAAGTTTAAAAGTGGTTTGTATTCAAGTTCCCTTCATATATTTATAGATATAGAATTTAAAATGTCCTTTCTTTTATTTGTATAACAATATGGTGAGGACGTTTAAAAGCTTTCAGATGGACAGCACCATGCACTGGACTAAAAAACAAATATTTCTATAAACTATTGAATCACCAACACACTGCACAGGAGACATGCAGAAAGGACCTGTTTTCACATTACATTATTCATTCAAGTAACTTGAAAAATAGGGTGAGTTTTTCTCCAAAACAAACCACAGAATTATAGACAACTTTCACCAAAATTAATAATATTCTTCTTTGGTGTGTTCTGTACGCTTCAAAAAGAAAAAGGGGTGGGGGAGGAAGGAATGATATCTAAAATTAAAAAAAAAATAAATTAATTCAGCTGTACAAAATAAATCACTTCCACATACAATTTATAACAATGACAAGACTACGTATCACAATACGGGCACATAAAAATTTTTCCCACTCATTTCTACAAGCCCTGGGAATGGCTGGGAATCCAGTTCCTTATTCAGTGGTCTCTGAGGATAAATTAGTGCTCTTTAGATTATCTGTAGGGTGTTTATGATGAACCAGCATTTTGCATGTGAAATGTTGCACCAACCACATCAGAATTTGTCAATGTTCCATGACCTTTCCCTTGAATAGCTTGGCAGCTAGGCCAAAGGTAATTTACTCCACTTTACCCCCACCAATTCCATTTATCCATTTATGACAATTTACTTTGGTCACTGAATCATTGCATATAATTACAGGTGGTGAAAAATATGAAATCGTTTATAAAACCTTTTGTATAAACAAGGATGAAAAGCTGGGTCACAAAAAAAATATTCTTTCAGAAAGAATATGTTACTCCAGCACCGTAACTCTTTCAAAAGGAAGATGTTGACAAGAGGGAGAGGTTTGATCCAACCCTTTATTCTGGGTTCCATTTCCAGTTATTGCTCTCTCATAAATCAAATATACTCTGATTCAGTGTGACTGGCTCACAAGTAAGTATATTTAGATTCATGATCTCAGCTAAGTAATATGCTGGGATGGATTGTTAAAAAAGGAGAACTTATAAATAAGTCCTGTTAAAATAGTTGCCTCTAAGTACCACTGAAATCAATGAGACAAATGCTCTCAGGATACCTTGAATGCCTAAAATAATAATAAATAATTGCAGCATTAACACTGACACCAGCAGCTATTTTTATTTTTTTTCCCCAGTCCCAAGATTAGAGCTCAGGAAGGTTTTAAAAAATAGAATTATTAAAAGAATTGAGAACATAAAACTAAAGTCCTGAATATACGGAAATCCTGAGGCCAGCCAAAATCAATGCAGCTTACTTCTGAATATAAATATTTAGGATAAGGGAAGCAACAGAGAAAGTTCAGGTTTTTGTGAAATCTTATTTAACTAGGGTTGTGACACTCACTCCTTCCCTCAACCATATTTACTTGGAAGTAAGCACCATTTAAAACAATGGCCCAATCTTCTATATAAGCATTCTTAGCATTAACCTGTAAGGAGCAATCTATAACTAGGAATGGTGAGAGTTTCAACATTGGTTTTAGTCTGATGCAAACATCAACTCAAGGATTATATTTATGCACTCCATTTTGAGATCTGGAGGAAATTTTTTAAAAATGCAAAGGCAGTGAACTAAACACAGAGATGACTATATGAATGGAGAAAATCAATTGGCAGTTTAACAAATGAGAGCTGTAGAGCAGAATAAATCTTTCAAAACTTGGTGGGCAAGCTTAAAATGCTCACTCCTGGCATCAAGAGCACCCATTCACTTATATTACATTCATAAGCCACATTTCTGGTTTTATTTTGGAAAACATTTGCATGGGACTGTCAAACTGGCTGTGCGTAAATTGCAAATCAAACTATGCATTGAATCTCTCCTATTGTCCTTAGACTGGGTGGTGGGGCAGGGGGAGAGAAAAGAGATGCATGTTGGGTCATTATTGAACTCCAAATTGGTTAAAAAAAGATTCTTCTTTTTAATAAAATAAAAAGAGGTAAGTCCAATGTCTTAAATTAATTACATACACAAACACCATAGGGTTTCATTTAGTGAATAAATAGACCAAGTTAACCAAGATGGCACATCTATATGCCATTCTAGAGTTCTATCTCCCTTCCAGCTCTAATGAATAGTTCTTGTCTCAGAGTTCCTGTAAGTCTCTTCCTCCTCCTCTTCCTCCTCAGAAGATGTGGCATTACTGGATGGGGTATGGAGGTGGTTGGCTGCCCCACTGGCCTGGCAAACGTACCATTCATTGAGATTGGTGACCTGAGGAGAAAGGTTGGCAGGCTGACCCCTTCCTGAGTCCTGAAGTGGGGACAGAGGAGCACCCAGGGGTGTCCCCACAGGCTGGTACCCGTGAGATCCTGGGGTAGGAGAAGGTGGTGGGGATTTGCAATGGATCTTCATGTGTTTTCGCAAAGAGCTTGGGTGTGTGTAGGACTTGTCACAGCCTCTGACTTTGCAGAAATATGGCTTGTCACTGGTGTGGACATGGGAGTGTTTCTTTCTGTCACTGCTATTGGCAAACTTCCTGTCGCAGCCATCAAACTCGCATTTAAAAGGCTTCTCCCCTGAAAGAGAAAAACATCTATAATAGATCTCCTTGTGAAAAGGAAGGATGAAGGCCAATTGGCTTGCATTTACATGTCAACCCAAACACAGGGATGATGGAGTCAAGGACTGGCAAGGAAGGGCTATAGCTTATAAAGCAGAGAAGAAAATGGAGTACTGTCATTTCTCCTCATTCCCCTTCATCCCATCACACCCTTCCCCCATGTACACTCATCGACATCCTCATTTCTGAGTAACTGCAGGAATAAGGCCAGCGTGTGAAGGTTTAGATTTGCTCCAAAACACAACCCACACCATCAGGGAACATTTTCTAAACAGTGATCCAGTACAACATGACTTTCAGATAAACATTTCCAGGACAATAGAAAAGCTGCTCCTTATTCCTGCTCTGCCTTCTCTTACTAAAAATTATAAATAAAGGACTAAAGGAGGGGAGGGCTTGTAAGGCAATCCAGGGAAACCAATCTCTCTTTAGAAAAACTTACTTGGCCATAATTCCTTCCAGAAATTTGCAAGAGGAGCCTTCAATAATAAACAAACAGGAGCAGCTGTTTAAACATATAATTGTGTGGGGTTTTTTTTAAAGCCACTAACCTCTCAGAACAACTACATTCTCAAATGGGGGGGGGGGCATTCATTTCCCCTCTCTGTCATGTTTTGCTTTACTGCTTGCCAGTGATTGGGAAAACTATCTGCTCAAAGAGCAAAGCAAGCACCCTAATAAAAGGAAGGGATGTACCCAAGAAAAATCTCACCTCCGGGGGTGGGCGATGCCAGAAATATATGGCGGCTCTCTTTCGGTGGGTTTATTTGTAACTTAACAATAAGTGGAACCTCAGGCTCTCCAGTCTTCCATAGCTCTAGGTTTTGCCTGTTACGAAGTGTGGGGCTAACAAGAATTCTCTTCTAAAAGAGGGAAAGAAAAACACTCTGCAGACCTGCCTCTTGATGCAACTGAATTAACTAAATAGATCCCACAAAGCCTCATTATCCTGCTACAGAAGATTAAACATTTTTGTGGGTAAGGCTATTATAATTTTTAAAAGGGCATAATTATGCTATTTTATTGGTTGAACGGAAAATATAATTCTTGCAATCAGCAATAGCCAAAGTGGCATGTTTCACCAGCTGGACTTTGCCTCAAGAAGGAAGTCCCCTCGTTCAACGAGGCTCTCTGCTGGGTAAGAATGCCAGCTAGAACTGCAGGCTTTTCTCCTGTTTACTATTGGAAACCACAACCATCTGCTCTCTCCGGCGCTACATTCCTCAGGAAACACTCGAGGGTTTGATTTACAGCATCTCTTTTCCAATGCAAATATTTTCCTGCACAGACCGAATGCAAGCTATGCTTTTCAGTTCAAGCACAGCCTCCTAGTTCCAAGGAGAAAAGAGCAAGCAGAAATCAAGCAGCTCTCCTATTACTACTGTATAGCTTAGACGACGCAGAGGCTTCGGCCCCCGAAGGATCTCGGCAGCGTCTAGGGAGAACGCGGGTCCAGGCCGGCCAGCCCTAAACCTTCGCTGAAATACGAGGCGCTCTCGGGAGAGGGGCCCTCTTGGCGAGATCCTCCCACAGGAACTAGCACGTTCCCACGAGGGCTTCCGTTGAGCCTTCGCTCCCCGCATTCGCGCGTTTGGGTCGGGCTCTCAGTCAATCCTGCTTGGGCAGAGGGCCGCGTTTCAAGGGAAGACCTGGTCGCCAGGATCCCAACGCGAGACGGTTCCGCCGGCCTGGTGTTTATCTTTGGCCTCCTTTCCGAGAGCTCAGGGCGAGGGACGCGCAACGACAGCGCCGCGGTGCTCTCGCTCCCTTCTCCGGGCGTTATGGGAAGTGGGCCTGGGGCGCTGTTCCCGGGGGGCCTCCCGGCAGTTCGCAGCGGCCTCGGAAATAGGCCCGCTTTTCTCCTGGAAAGGGCACCGGCGTCCATCCCCGGGAAGGACGAAGGGGGCGGGCGCGGGACCGGAGTCTCCCTTTTCCTGAGCCACGGGAAATCCAGCTTTCTCCCGATTTCAGTCAAAGGAAGCGAGCTCTCCTCTGAGGGAGCAGCTGCAGGGGAAGGGGGGAAAAGGCGCTCTTCTGGCCCAGCCACGGCTCCCTTCCGCCTGACCCGCAGCGATCCCTCTGCCTGAGCCCGGGGCCTGCGGACGGGCTGAGCCCGGGGCGGGAAGGCAGAAACGCGCCTCTCCGAGCGGGGAAGGGCCTCGTCAGGCGGGCTCCTCTGGCGCTCGCCGCCGGGAAGGCTCCTCGGGAGAGAAAGAGCGCCCGGCGGCCGGGGCCCGCAGAGCCAGTCCGCTCCCGCCGTCTGAACCGCGACTCTTCCAGGCCGGCCAGGCGCGGACCGTCCAAGCGAAGCACGTCTGCAGGCGCGGCGCTCAGGAGCCTCGCCCCTCCTAGAAGCCCCCGGCTCCGGAGAGACTTTCGCCCAGGACTCGGGCTGGCTTGGGCTCCCTCTTCCTCCGCGCCAGCACCGAGCAGAGGGCGAGCCCCTCCGCTCCGGCTCCCCTAAATGCAGACGGCCTGGCCCGAAGGGGGCCATCTCCCCAGCCTCTTCTCAGCTGCAGCAACCTGGGAAGGCAGGACCTGGAGAAGCGGCTTGTCTGGCGGCGGTGGCGGCAGCCGAAGGGAAGGGGAAGGGCCCCCGTTGGCTCTTCTTCCATTAGAAAAAGTTTGTGTGTGCGGGTGGGAGAAGGTCAGCTAGATCCCATCGTTTTCCCACTTACCTCGTCTCTCCGCCAAGCACCCGGCAAGAAAGGAAGCGAGAAACAAAGAGTTTCTCCAAAGATCCCGTCAGTGGGCCAAAGCGACACATGATCGAAGGGAGCCAGAATCACTTATTCTCCGGCCTGCGGGACACATGCAGATTCCCTCCCCCGCCCCCGCCTTTCCCTACAGGGCTCTGAGGGGTCTGTTCGGGAATAGGAGGCAGCTGAGTGCAAGCCCAGATGGGTTGGTCGGACAGATTCCCCATCTAAAAATCGATCGCTCTGGCCGCCGGGGGCCATTTGCTTTGGCGGCTGAACAGCGCGTTGCACCTTGTCCGCCTCTCTCTCTCTTTGCAACAACACACAATAAATCACGAAAACAATTAGGTGAGGTCCCCTCCTGTCCTGCCCCCCTTCCCCATAAAAAGTCTCCGGTGGATAATATCTGTCTTCAGGCCACTATAAATCCCAACTGCCTTTTAAGGAAAATCAAAAAGCGAGTCGCAGATCAAAACCAAGCTGTAAAAGTTACAGCGCCATAAAACCTAGCTCCATTGAAATGCCTCGTCCCCTCCTTCGCAGACAAAGGCCCACTCGTGTCACGATCCACGGGTTCTTCTCCGCCTCTGGAAATCGCTGTAAAATTTCTCCTTCAGTAAGAACCCCAGGTACTTACATCCCTTTCTATCAAAGGGCTCCAAAACACTCCAGAACAACAAAGGCAACTATACGAATTATACCTAAATTTTGAGCACAAAAAAGCAAACAGAAACAAACAAACCAAACCAAACTCCTTATCGCTCAACCAAAGTATGCTTCTCTGGAGTTCACATGAAAGATATGCCACATTTTTTCTTTACACTACAAAACAAAGGGGAAAAACAACAATATTCGATTTCACAAGAGAGTGGAGAAGAAGAAAGTTTAGAGACTGCGCACTCTGGGCTCCTTGGGACTCTTGTGGTTTTCTCACTTCCCCAGGCACTTGCTTCTTTTCCAGATACCCCCAGCACTCTTCGTCTGCCTGTTGAAGAGTGTTGTGGAACTGGAAAGCTCGCCAGCTGCCCAAGCCTCACAGCTGGAGCTCTGAAGTTGCTTACCGCGCCTGCAACACACGCGGAGATAAGACATAATATAGATGTATCAGGGGACACTCTCGCTCGCGGCGGTGTGGAGCGATCTCGCCCAAGAAATTACTTATTCATGATAAAAGTCACATGTCTGAACGGACGTAGGGAAAGAGGAAAGGCGGAGAAGGGGGAGGCGGGGGGAGAGAAGAGAGCCCGAGCTTCGCGTGGCGAGACGCAGCCCGGGAAAGGGGCCCACGAGCACAGGGGCCACCCACCTGTATGAGTCCGCTTGTGGATCTTGAGGTTCTCGGACCGGGCGAAGACCTTGCCGCATCCGGGGAAGGGGCAGGGGAAAGGCTTCTCGCCCGTGTGCACGCGGATGTGGTTGATGAGCTTGTACTTGGCCTTGAAGGGCTTCCCTTGGCGGGGACACTCCTCCCAGAGACACACGTGGCTGCTCTGCTCAGGCCCCCCGACGTGCTCCACCGTGACGTGGTTGACCAGCTCGTGCATGGTGCTGTAGGTCTTGGAGCAGGGTGGCGTGCCGCCGCCCGCCTCGCCCTCGAGCCACTTGCAGATCAGTTCCTGCTTAATGGGCTGCCGCATGTAGCGTAGGAAG